GTGGCCGGCTTTGAAAGCAAGCTTGAATTGTCCTGTGAGCGGTGAGGAGCTAGTGCAGGTGGTAAATTGGGGGGCTGTGTTTCAGTGAGAAGATGAGCTCTGTGTGGCCGTTCTTTTCAAGGCACTGAAAAATATTGGAGTAAGTCACTGGTACGTGGCATATTCAATTTCTCGGAGCACAAATGATTAAAAACATGATCCTACTATGGGATGGGTTTCTGAAGCATATCTGAGCTCTTTTAAGGTGGGAAAGTCTTTGAGTTATTAATTACAGTTCGTTAATCTCTGCAGCTGCAAATTAGAAGTCTGTTGTTAGGTGCCTCTTGTGCCTTCTATGACTTTTTCTAGTTGGAGTTTTGTAGGCTTTTTCTAGTCCGATGTTACTATGCTCTCGCTTTTCTCTCCCTTCCATTTTGCTGTGTTTAGGAGGGTTTTTCTGCTGCAGAGGTTTCCTTGGTGCTGCTCTGAGTGAGACATGCGACATTCAGCACAGCTGCTTTCTCCTAAGGCACCCTTGGAAAAAAGAAAAAAGCTCAACTGAATCGAGTTCCTTCACTGAGTAGGAGTGAGTGAAGCGTGGTCAGCTTTATTTCTAGACATCTTTTAGTTTCACAATCAATACTACGAGACTGACTTAAGAATTCTTGATTTTGGCCAAGAGGTTTTCTTCTCTCCTTTCTCCATTTCTTTTTTAACTTTAGATGGTAACTTCTAAGTTTACTTCCACTTATTATTAAGAATGGTGGTTAAAAAAAAAAAAAAATCCCCCAGCCATGTTAGAAGGAGTAATGTAGGAGAATGTAGAAATAAAATTCGGTAAAAACTTTGAAGGCTGTCCAGGAGACAAAGAAGGATTAGTTTCTTTGAAGACATGGAAAATTACAGTTCAGCTGGAAACCTCGGGAAAACCAGTTGGAGAGTACTGTTTGTCAGAAATGCTGACCAAACGTGAACTGCAGGTCAGGTTGCTGAATGCTGGGCTGTAGCTCTCCAAAAATCGTGCCATGGGATTAGCAGTAGAGTGGGCTGAGTTAGGAACATCACTTCAGCCTAGTTTTGGCGGTAGCTTTGTTGGTATCATGCAGGTATGTGCGAATGTGCGTGTTGCTGGTGATGTGCAAAGTATGTCTGCAACGCATGCCTGAGAGTCTGGGAGAAGCCTTCCAAACCTAACGTGAAGCAGCGAGATGTGATTTGGGAACGTCTCATAAATTGGAGATACGGAAGGAAGGAAAGCGAGTGGGGAAAATAGAAATTGGTTTCTTAGTGTGTGCTCCTGCCACCTTTCCTCACATCTTTAGCTGCCTGAAAACTGGGTGCTTTTTTAAAGGTCATTGACCAAAGATGTAATTACATTTTTGGCAGTTATTCTTTTAGTTAGTTATGGATGCAAACTTGTCACAAGGTGATAGTCGGGTTGGTCTGGAATCTCTTGAGAACTCTTGAGAGGCTGAGTAACGTAAAAATCTTTATACGCGTTTCCT